CGAGGGCTCATTCTCGTTCCCGTCTTTCGGTATGTGGACGATTTCTTCTGCCCTGTGCGCAAGGAAGGGCTGCGCGACGCAATGCGACAGTTTGCCGAACTTGCAAGGATTATTCTCGGTCCGCGCGCCGTGGCCGACGGTGAGCTGCAGTTCGGCAATCCGCTTGGCGTCCTGGGTCTGTCTGTGACGATGGACGAGAAAGTCTTTGTGTGTTGGCAGCGGCCGGACATGTGCGCGCGGTGGCGCGCCGAGATCGCCGCTGCCCCTCAGGCGGGCGCGCTCGAGCGCGGGCGCGCGTCTCAGTTGGCAGGCCGCTCCTGTTGGGCCGCCTCTAACACTGTCGGGCTTTTCGTGCGGGCGCTGCCCCCGCCGTTATTCGAGCGCGCGAGGGCGCTCCATCCGAGTATCCCGGCGCGCATGCGAGTCTGTCCGCAGTGGTTGCATGAAGCGCTTTCTATCAATTTCTCCACGCCGCGAGAGTGGCAGGCGCCAGGCACCATGTTTGTACAACTGCTCTTCGACGCGCGGGGCCATCCGGCCAGGGTGGCCGCGGTTCTTTTCATTGACGGGCGCATAATCTTCACCGATGTCGGCCCGCTCGAGTCCTTGCTTCGGCTCTTTCAGGAAAGGCGCGACAGTCAAATCGGGGGTCTGGATGTGCTCAGCATCGCGCTGGGCATGGCCACCGCCGAGCGGCTCCTGTCAGGCCGATGCGTGATTATTTTTTCAGACAATTCAGGCAGCGAGTGGGCCGTCCGTTCCGGTGCGGCGAAGCAGTTCGACCACGCTTGCCTGGTCCATTCAATTTGGCGCATGGCGCTGTGTGCAAATTCCAATCTGCACGTTCATCGAGTGGCGTCGGCGGCCACTATCGCCGTCTTGCCCTCGCACGAGTCATATTCCCTGCTGTGTCGCATGGGGGCGCAGTCATTTCCTCCGGTGCGTAACGATGCGTGATTCGACCCAAGTGTGTGGCTTCCTCGCCGCTGGGCATGACCGGCTCGGGCACCAGGCTCGCGTCTTCCCTCGTCGGTCAGGGTGCGCCCGCCATATTGTGCAGATGATGGGGGTCTTCCCTCGCGCGCGTCGCGGTCGCGCTTCGTGATGCGTGCGCGCGCGTTTCGCCGCGCTGTCGGTGCGCATTGAGGGTTCTTGCAGCGAAAGATGGCGCAGTCTGGACTGATCGCTCAGCTTCGCGCAGTTTGCCCTGAAGTACGCCCTAGTTATGTTTTCGATGCTGCTTCGCTGCTTGCCGTCAACGGCGCCGACGCCGTGGGCGACTTGGTTGGCGTCGCCCTGGCAGACTTCAGGGGCGCCGCGGTATTATCTAACGACGCCCGTGAGGTGGTCCGCGCGGCAGTCGCGATGGCCCAGCGCGGCGGCGCGCTAGCTGCATTCGGCGGGGGTGGCGCGGGCGCTCCATCTGCGCCCGCTCCCTCGCCCGGGATTTTCCCCAGGTCTTCTCGCGCGATCCGCGTTCGCCCGCGGGTGCTTCGCGCTGGTCGTCGCAGGGCCGGCGTTGTGAGGGGGGCGCCTTCGAGCGAGTCAGACTCGTCATCTTCCACGGTGCGCGCGCGAAACTGCGGTGCGTCGCTCGCGGCGCGTCGCGCGGGTGCCAGGACATTGGCGGGGCGCGCGCAGTTCCCCCGACAGAACCCGCGTCCGCAGTCTGGTGGGCGCTCTCAGTCGCCGGGCGCGAGTGTCGCCGAGACGTGCGCGGGCCGCGGGCCGAAGCTGCTAGGGCTTGACCCCTCATCGCGTTTCCAGCGGCCACAGGGGCGCGGGCGGGCAACGCCTGGGTGAGCGCGCTCCTGGGTGCGTGCCCGCGCTCGTTGCCAGCGCTCAGCAGCGGGTTCGAGTGTTGGATAGCATTCGCAAGGGGCGTCTTAAAGCGACGCAGGAGAGAATTGCCGCCTACCCATCGAGGGGCTGATCCTGTGGTCCACGACTTTCAGGTGCATCGGCACCTGCAGCAACTACGTGACTCCTGTTAAGAAGGCGTGCCTCGTGGCGCGCAGGCGCGCCATCCCTCCTTGTCCTCTTGCTTCGCGCGCGCTCGCCCGCGGTGGAGGTCGGCGCGCAAAGCCCGTGGAAGTCCCCAGCGGTTCGGGCTGGCGAGCGAAGGCGCGCAGGGCCCTTCAGGGCCGCGACGTCGCCCGCATGGTGGCGCACCTGGGATTCAGTTGCGAGGGTCGCCGTCTCGCAGTGTTGTGCCTGGCGGCCTATGCATCCCTCCTTCGGTTACCTTCGGAGGCCCTGCCCGCGGCGCGGGTTTAAGTTGGCGCGGCCGCGGCTCGCGTGGCCTCCGCAGTCGTCGTCGGCGATCAAGAGATCGAGCTGCGCCTCTCCAGGAGAAAGAACCGCGAGATTCGCTCGGCTTTGTCGCGGCAGTGCTGGTGCGATGAGTGCGCGGTCACCTGTCCCGTGCACTATTTTGGGGCCAGGCTAAGTGGCGTTGGCCCATAGTGGCCTGTTGCGCTCATTGGGCCAATGGCGCCATCTCTTTTGGTCCCTAGTGACCACGTGCTGTCGTTGGCCCGCCCCACCAGCCCGGGGGGTGGGATTGGGGTGGTGCTCCCCCACGGGCCCGACTGGCGTCTGCCCGCTTGGCCTCGGAGAGGCCGCGCGCTGCGGGGGCAGATGGGTCGGGTCCGCACTCTCCGCTCCTGGGGGAGGCTTCCTCCTCCCCCCCCCAGGGCCATGCGAGGCGAGTGCAAATGCCACGATCTGTCATGCTCATTATCATTGCTATGCTGATGGCAATGATGATGCTGATGCCGACGTTGCTGATGACGTTGCTGACGACGATGATGATCATGATGATGACGATGACGACGATGACGATGATGACGATGATGACGATGATGACGATGAGTTCGATGATGGCGCTGACGATAACGATGGCGAAACGACGATGACGACGATGATGATTATGCTGCTGATGATGATGAATCTGATGGGAGTGGTAATAGTGATGATGTGATGATGATGACGATGATGATGACGATGCTGATGCTGATGATGATGTTGATTCGGATGTTGTTGTTGATTCTGATGTTGATGATGCCGATGACGTAGATGGTGCTGAGACTGCTGATGCTGATGACGAGGAGGAGAAGGAGGAGGAGGGGGAGGAGGAGGAGGAAGAGGAAGAGGAGGATGAGGATGAGGATGAGGATGAGGATGATGATGAAGAGGAGGAGGAGGAAGAGGAGGAGGAAGAGGAGGAGGAGAGGAGGAGGAGGAGGAGGAGGAGGAGAGGAGGAGGAGAGGAGGAGGAGGAGGAGGAGGAGGAGGAGGAGGAGCAGGAGCAAGAGCAGGAACAGGAGGAGGAGGAGGAGGCGGAGGAGGAGGAGGAGGAGGAGGAAAAGGAACGCCGTCTCATGTGATACCTTTCGTCTTCACTACTGAGAAGCTCCTCTTATGGAATGGGGCTGTATGGTGTCTTGGGGCCGTCTTTCTCCGTCTTGGGGCTCTCTTGGACCGTCTTGGAACGCTCTTGGCCGTTTGATGGGTGTCTGGGGGCCGTCGTGGGGCCTTCATGGGCTGTCGACAGGCCTTCTCCGGGTGTCTTTGGGCCCATGGGAGGCTCTCTGGGGCCGTCTCGAGGCCGACTTGGATGCTTCTTGGTCCATCGTGAGACCTCTTGGGCCATCTTGGAGCCTTCTTGTAGGCCTCTTGAGCCGTCTTGTGGCCGTCTTGGAGGCTTCTTGGGCCGTCTTGAGCCGACGGAAGCTCGAAAAGGAGAGAATGTGAGAATCATTCAACACCCACGGGGAATTCAGGATTTTGGCTTTTGCGGACCCTGATGGAGATCTTCTTGTGGACTTTTAGGCCCTCTTGAAGCTATCTCAGGCCGTCTTGAGGCCATAATGCGCCGCCTTTGGGCCATCTTGGCCCGTCTTCGAGGCATCTTGGACCATGCTTGTGTTATTGGTTGCTTGCATCAGCTGGCTTGGAAGCTCGGGACGCGCATCCATCGCTTTCAACCCGGAAAGGTAGCCTCGGGATCGTGGACCCAATTTTTCACGAGGGATCGTGGCCTAGGGAGGGGGAGCGATTCATGCGAAGCACGCGAGTATGTGCATTCTTCAACGCCTCAACGTGCACAAGGTATTGTGGCGGATTTGGAAGAATGATGGCGAGGATGAGGACGTAGAGCGATCAGTTCTCTCTTGAAGGCGACTGGGAGTATTGCACTTTGCAGCCCTGCTGACGACATTATTCCGTCTTGGACATGAATTTTCAGGGAGTGGTCTGTCAGGAGGGAACAAAAACACACAGACACAGTTAATCTTCGATTCCCCAGAAAATGTGGGAAAATATGGGAATTGGGGGGGGAAGACGAAAACCCAGAAAATATGGGAAAATATGGGGATACTGTCATTTGTGTGTATTCATTTGTGTGTCCCTGGGCCCCTTGAGTGGTCTGGCCTCCCACACTCCCCATGGAGGCCCCACCCCCGCTTCTCCTTCCTCCCCGCTCCCTCGTGCTCCTCTCCGGTTGGGCACGTCTGGGACTCGAGCCGCATTTGTGGGGGGCGGCAAAGGGGGGGGTGATGACTAGGGGGAGGTGTATATCATGGCGTGGGCCATGATGTTTCCCCAGATTTCGTGGCGCCTCTTCTTATTTCATTACGTCCCTGCCGCCCCCGCTGGGCCGCGCACATGCCGCCGGTCATGATTTGCACCCCCCCTCTTGGACACCCCCCTCTTGGCCGCTCCCGATCTTGTCTTGAAGCTTCATAGGTGGGTTACCCCTCTCCCTTTGAGAACTGCTCTAAGGATGCTCTTGGCTCGGCGATGGTTCCGCAAGCGAGGGTTACGGCTGTACCACTTTGCCTGGTGCCAACGAGGGCATCATTTGCACGTGTTCTGGTCGTACAGCCTGGCCACGGGTGTGTGTGTGTGTGTGTGTGGTTAGTGTGATTATTTAGGGCTGCCTGCGCAGGAAACGTCGGAAAAGCCCCTGACCTTCCTATGAATACATTCTGTCTGGCCGTCGACCTAGTCTAAATGGTGCGATGATGTAATGTATCCTCGGGCGAACAGGCTGACCCGCTGCCAGGAGGCAGACCGTCAACCAAAGAACTTCTTTCTTTCTTCTCCTCGTTCTCCTGCTCCTCATCTTCCTTCTCCTCCACATCCTGCTCATCCAGTGGCCGCCCAGGTGTCGCTGGCGGACGCGTCCACAGTCTCCTCGGTGAACGCCACCGTGGACGCCGACCCGGTGTCTTCTCCCCACGTGGAGCCTGGCGCCACCAGCAGCACCATTCGCACCTTCAAGGCCGCCTGCCGCCTCTCGGCAGGCTCGGCAGCCTCGGCCGACCCGTCGAAGCGGTCGAGCTCGGTCATGGACCGACGCTACCCCCCGGTGAGGTTGCGCCTGCGGTCATCCGAACACTCTCTTTGGGTGGGGGGCACAGGGTGAAGTCTGAAGTGCCGTGTCGATGGGTTCTCGAGGGGAGCTGCAAAAGGTGAGTCACAAGACTCTCAAGGGCAGACAAAAACGCTCCTACCCTGGTTTACGAGGCGCCGTGCGCTGAAACTCCTGCTGGCTGACAGGGTAAACCCTGCGTGATGTGCCGCGTCCTGGCGGCTCTAGGCTTTGGGGGGTTCCCAGGAGGTTTACAGACCACGCTCTTGTAACCCAGGGTAGGGTCGTTTTTTCATCCCTCAAAAGACGGAGTGGTTTTCGAGGTGCAAAAGCCCATATGCATGTCACCCTGAGCCCTCCACCCTAAGATCGGGGGCGGAAAAGAGGGGGGTGATGACTAGGGGGGGTGGATATCATGGCGGGGGCCATGACATTTCCCCAGATTTTTTGGAGCCTCTTCTTATTTCATTACGTCCCTGGCCCCCCCGCTGGGCCGCGCACATGCCGCCGGTCATGATTTGCACTCCCCCCTCTTGGACACCCCCCTCTTGGCCGCTCCCGATCTTGTCTTGAAGCTTCATAGGTGGGCCACCCCTCTCCCTTTGAGAGTTGCTCTAAGGATGTTCTTGGCTCGGCGATGGTTCCGCAAGCGAGGGTTACGGCTGTACCGCTTTGCCTGGTCCCAACGAGGGCATCATTTGCACGTGTTTTGGTCGTACAGCCTGGCCACGGGTGTGTGTGTGGTTAGTGTAACTATTTTTTCACTATTTTTGAATATTCCTCCTGTAGAGGGACGGGCCCGATTGAATCCTAGATGGGGTCGGAGTAGATGGGGTTGGAGGATCTCGCCGCTTCGCCGATACATCGGCGATGCGTCTCCCGTCGCTGCATCGGCGATGCACTGGCGACGCCAGCGATGCATCGGCGACGTCGGCGTGGGGAAAATCGGGCCCCACATCGAGCCGCATCGGCGATGCGGCGCGATCCTGCGACCCCATCTGCTTCGACCCCATCTAGGAGGCCTAGCATTGAATTTCGCGGGCTACTCACCGAAGCGCTCAACGGGCCAGTAGTGCAGCAATGACCCCTGCACGCGCACACGCATACACACCTTTTCTCGGCAGGCGCGGCCGCGGATACGGCGACGTTCCCCCGCGTGCGCCCTGGCGGCGTTACGCTGGGCCGCCGCCACCAGCGCTGGTGTTAAGCCGGGCATGTCCCTCTACAGGAGGAATATTCGAAAATAATGAAACATAGTCCAGGGACGTTCTTCTATCATCTTTAAGTATTTTAATGTTTGTTGACTATTTTTCAGTTTTCTTCCAGCATCCGCCTGTAGAAGGGCATGCCCGACCTAACGCTGGCGCGGGGGCAGGAGCCAACCCAGGCCAGGCGGTCTGTGAGGGCGACCTCGACGGGCTCGGACACCTGGAAATGCCGTCGGCACGTGGGTGCCAACGTGTGGCGAGCGCTGATGCGGCGGCGGGCCCGGCGCGGACCTGCAGGGTTGGGCGCCGCCAGTGGTCTCGGGGGCGGAAAAGAGGGGGGTGATGACTAGGCGGGGTGGATATCATGGCGGGGGCCATGATATTTCCCCAGATTTCATTGCGCCTCTTCTTGTTTCGTTACGTCCCTGGTTCCCCCGCTGGGCCGCGCACATGCCGCCGATCATGATTTGCACCCCCCCTCTTGGACACCCCCCTCTTGGCCGCTCCCGATGGTCCAGCATCGGCCAGTACCGAGGAGTGCGAAGCAGGCAGCGTCTGCAGAGGGCAGTGGTGGGCCAGGCCTCGCCCCCCGGGCGAGGCCTGGAAAAGCTCGAGGTGCCGCCCCCGGGCAGGCGTGCCCCTCCTCGAGCGGGCGGTGGCCCAGCGGCGCGAGTGCGACGCCGAGGCCTGGCCGCGCATTCGATGACAGAGTGCTCTCCCAGAGAGGTCCACGCCTGCCGGTGCAGAAGCAGGTTCCCGTCGGAGCGTGCGGCGCCCGCAGCCTCGACGACGGACGGTGCCCAGAGAGCCGCGCGCACTCGCCGACCAGCGCTCCACGAGGCAAGGCCGACCAACGCCCGTCGACACTCACACAACTCTCGATTTCGCGCGCGTCTGCTTCCACCTCACCCGCGCTTCGTTGCCCTGCCCATCCGCAGTCTCAGATTCGCTCGTACGCCCTATGTGCTGTTTCGATGGGAACTTCCTCAATGTACAGTCGGGGCGCTGAAGAAGGAACCCTTTTCGCTGGGGAGGGGCTCGGTGTTCCTTGACTGTTTGAAAGTTTGCCTCGGGTTTTCCTGGGGTTTTCCATCGGAAATCGAGGTTGACCTTATGGGAAAAAGGGGGCCTCGCTCCTTACTTAGGGTTCCTTAGGCCAACGCCCCGACGGTATGCACGGCCAGGATGCAGGGCGCCGAACCTCGAGACTCGCGCGAGGCTGGAGCGGCGGCTCGGCGGCGCGGCCGGAGCCGCGCCTCGTCGCCTCCAGAGACTCCAGTATTCGGGGGTGGACAGACCTCCTACCCTGACACGTCGATTCAGGAATGGGCCGTTTTCGAAACGCGAGAGGGCGTCGCGGCCGTCGTTTTTGCGGGTCCGGGTCCGTCGGTTTCGGTCCCAGGCCGTTTTCGCTAAGGGGAGGTTTACTAAAGGGAGGTTTGTCCACCGCCGAAGTATGAAGAGGAAGAGGGTGCGGGGACGAGCTCGCCAAAGCACCCCCAGAGACTCCAGAGGCACACGCCGTGACCTCCGAGGTACCCATGGCATCTGTGCTTGATCCAGCTGGGCTCGGAAACGGCGCGGAGTCATCAAAAACAGCCACAGCTCAAGACTGCCTAAGAAGCCGGCTCTGGCGCGAATTCCGTTCGAAAAGAGCAGTGGGATGGGCCCGGACGGTCCTGGAGGATCTCGTGCCGGGTTTCTCGATGCGGATCTCGTGCGGGCTTTTTTCTCCTGGGCCGAGGAACGAAATGCACTCAGTTTCTCGCTCGAGGTTTTTTGGGTGATCGCCGATTCAATAAAACGGTCTCCTGCCTGCTCCTGGGCCTGCCCCCCTCCCCCTCGCCCCCCCAGGGGCGGCCAGGCCGGCCGTGGGGCTGCACCGCCCTGACCAGGGAGGAGACCTCGGGCTCAGGCGGTGGCTCCTCGGGTGGCAGGTCCTGACAGCCTGGTACATATAATTGTGGTCCTGTCTACGTCATGCCACGAAGAGTGATCGTGGCGCTCTCCCCCTTCGCCTCCTCCTCCTCCCCCTCTGCAACAAAACAAACAAAACGTGGACTACAGAGTGCTGTGCAGTGCTGTGCAGCCCACCGTGGCTGATAGCAGGCGGATGCTGATATCCAGGGCAGCGCCTCACACGCACCAAGGGAGCAGGATGAGGAGGGGATGCTTCAACATAGTGATACACTTTTCCCCTTCAGCGATGTGCAGGTCAGGCTGTCGATAGCAAGCGAGCCACGCGAGCAACATTGCATTTCGATATATGTCGAAAGTGCTCCAACCGAAGCCATGGCATCCCAAAAGAGGGGTCAGCTAAAGCGAGGTGCGCGGGCAGAGACTTGGTGAAGAGGCAACCAGAGCGGCCAGACGGGAGGAGGTGTGAGAGCGACATCTCACACGGCAGGGGTAGCACTGCGCACAGAGGGGTGCAGATGCAGAGGAAGAAGACAAAGAAGCTCGGTGAAAGGTGGAACAGCGCTTAGGCGAGCGGGGGCGTAAAAGGCATGCCACGAGAGTCAATTCTTCTCGGCATCGGCTAGCGGGCCAGCACCTTTACCCATTGGTCGTTAAAAGCAGGTATTTTTGGATTCCCATACTTCAATCTACTTTAAATGCCTTGCTACTTCAATGATCGAGTGGCTTCACCTTTTCCGTCCTCTTCAGGGGGCGGGCGGAGACCCAATCTACTTCCAACCCCTTCTTACTCCACGTTTATATCTACTTCTTCAGACCGATGGGTATGCGAGATGTGAAATCCGCATCGATGTGAAATCCGCATCGATGGATTTGGAGTGTAAGCCATCGATGCAGACGAGGAAGGCGAGCCACCATCAGATACGCAGCCCGGATGCTATAGGCGACATGCCCATGCCCGGGCATGCGAGGAAACACATGATGTTCTAGACCTTTACGTCTCCGCACAGGTGATTGTGCAAAGCACCCGCACACAAATACAGGAGCACCCGTTCGCGTGCATACATGCACGCACTCGTGAGTGCACTTGTACTTCGATGCTCACCATCGCAACTGCTCCAGTACACATATGTTTTCAATGATGCGCGCACATCTGTCACCTTGCCCTTCACTTGTGCCACGCCTTTTCGTGTGACAGCTTTCGATCGTGCAACATTTTCGAGTCGTTTTCCACGCCGTCGTGCTTATGTCTGGCTCTTCCTCATCTGCCCGCTCCTCCCCCCTTTCCTGCTCCTCTGCGTCGACGCCGTCCTCTGTCCCCGCTTCGTCGTCGCTTTCCTCTTCCTTTGACTTCTGCTTCCCCGCAGCTGCGGCTGTGCAACGCCTACGCGTGGCCCGAGCCGGTGGAGATGAGCCGTGTGCAGGAGCCAAAGCTGGTGGAGTACCCGCTGGCGTACAAGGCAGAAGCCCTTCGGTAGTGGTTTGTGGCATCCCTTGCTGGCTTCTTCGGATCTCCGTTGTCGTCGTCGCTCCTCTCTATACAGGTTTCTGGCAGGGGGGCGAATCTGAGCGCGCTAGGCGTACCGCGGTATGGGCTGGAGGGTTGTCCTCATCTGGGGGCGGTGCGAGAGCGCGAAGAGAACAGCGCTCCGCGAAGCGCGATGTAAGATCTTGTAACATCTTTCTCTTGTGGCAAGCATCCGCCGTTGAGATCCTGGAGGGTGCTGGTGTAAGCACGGCTGGGCCTTGCGTTGGGCGGTGAGTGCCAGCGGCGCATTATCTTGGCCCCTGTGCGGCCTCCGTGCGTGGTGATTCCTCGTCCAGGCTCGTGGCGGGCTTGATGAGACATCTGACGCCATCGATGGCCCTCGCCCATGTCTCGGCGTCACCCCAACATACTAATACAATGTGTGCCCCCTCCCCAGGGGCGACGCGCGCACCGAACAATCTCACAGTAGATGCGTCGTGGTTGGCGCTTTCTGGTCACACTGCTCGGGAAACGATATACCACAAGATGGGTATACGATATGTTCGGGTCAGACGCGCGCCTCCAAGGAGGACAAACAGTGCTAGTGTGTCTCTGTGCGTCCCACAGGGTTGAAGGGGGGCCCGACAGAGCTGCCGGCCGTGCCGTAGGCCGCAGTTGGCCCTGGGCACCCCAGAGGAGAGCGCCGCGGGCCCCGCAGGAGCCTGGCCTTCTACCCTCCTCCTCCTCCTCCTCCGCCTCCTCCTCCTCCTCCTCCTCCTCCTCCACCTCCTCCTCCTCCTCCTCCTCCTCCTCCTCCTCCTCCTCCTCCTCGCCGCGCAGACGCTGGCCGCAGGTGAGGTCTCGGCCTCAGGAGGCGACGGTGGGGTCTTGCGACGCAGTGCCATCTTGCATGCCTTTGTCGTCCGTCTGGGTCATCCCGCGCGTCGTCGGGCAGGATCACCCTCGGCTGATGGCTGGCCTAGGGAGCAGTCCAGGCCTGGTGGCGGTCGGATAGGACCAGGGTGCCCAGGGTGTGGAGCACGGTTGTGTCCACGCCTTCGCGGGTACCACACAGTGTCGGCGCCGACTGATAAAGGGCAAGGAGGAGGGAGGTGGGCAGAGGGAGAAAAAGCGTACGAATGAAAGAGGAGGGGTGGAGCCGTGGTTGTCATTGGGCGCGGTAGCCGCATCCCTCATTTTTGCGTCCGGTTGGTGGCCCGATTCTGTAGAGGTTTGGCGCCTCCCTTGCACAGGACGTCTTCGTAGTCATCATGCGCGTTTTGTCTCAGGTCGGTGTGCACTATCAGGTGGACCTTGCGTCTGCCTTGCCAAGCAGGGCAGCCAGGACATCGTGGGGGACGTGCGCGTCAGAAATGGACCTGGCGCAGCCCCCGCAGCCTCGGTCGCTTTGCCCTGTTGTCAATTTGTCTCCGGTAGGCGCCGCATCTGCCTGCAGCGCTGGACAGAGTCCGTCGCAATGTCTGCCATGAGCAGAGTCAATGTCATGCCCGTCGGCGTAGCTTGCGCTCAGGGGAGCGTCCCACATCTTGCGGCAATGGAGGTGGACGATTGCCCTTGCCGCAGCCCCCCAGAGCTTTGCAGCGGACGATGGCGCACCCCTTGTGGGGAGTGGCCCCAGCGACGGTGCCGAACAGGGAGACGGTACAGTGATCCTTTCTTCCTCCTCCTCCTAATCCTCCTCCTCCTCCTCCTAATCCTCCTCCTCCTCCTAATTCTCCTCCTCCTCCTGCTTCTCTTCCTGTTCCTCCTCCTTCTCCTCTTCCTCCTCAAGCTGAAGACGCGGCTGCGGTTGTCGACCCGGAGGGTCGTCGGACCCTGGCACGGGTGCTCCGCCCGGCGCTGCCGCGTGGCCTCTGGCTGGGGCTCGGCCTCCTCCGGGCGCTCGGCCTCCGCCTGTCGCGGGCGTTTGGCCTCCAGCGGGGGCTCGGCCTTCGCCTGGCGCTGGCGCTCGGCCTCCATCTGGCGCTGGCGCTGATGCCGCGGGATCAGCCGGGGCCCCGTCGGGGACGCAGCGCTTGCTGCCCTCGCGGCGCTGCCTGCTGCCCCCGTAGCGCTGCCAGTGGCCGCCATAGGTCTACGAAATCCAGCACTCCCACGTTGTCCACTACGACGGCGGCGAGCACCGCGTCGGTACCCGTATCCGTCCTTATGGAGCGGTCTGTGCCCTCTGGGCTTTGCCGTGGCGTGCCCATGAATTGTTTTGTGCACGCTACGCGCGCTGGCACATGCAGACTTCTGCTGTCAGCGGGGAAGGCTGTTGCGCACGATGCCAGTTTTGCACGAGAGACACCATACGTGCGCCGTGACCCTGCTCAAAATTATCCTGGCGAAGGACCCAACCATATGCAGTTATGGGTACCGCCGGTGCGAGAACCGCCATCGGTGGAGCCCCCGACGGAGCCGCGAAATGCATGAAGAGACCGCCGAAGTGGGGTGGGGCCGCCATGCGGGCGCTGCCGCTGGGGTAGCCTGCTTGGGGCGCGGAGGTCATCCGGAACGGGGTGTGAAAAAAACATGACGGGGTGGTGGCATGCGGGCGCAGCCATTGGGGCCTTAGGCGTAGCTCCCTATGGGGCCACGAAACGTGTTAGGGTGTGCCGAAATGAAGGGGTGATGGCATGCAGGCGCAACGTCTGGGGCCTTAGATGGAGTTCCCTATGGGGCCACGAAGCGTGTGATGGGTGCGCCGAATTGAGAGGGTGGCGGTATGCTGGTGCAGCCACTGGGGCCTTCGGTGGAGCTTCCCATAGGGCCACGAGGCGTGTAAGGGGTGTGCCAAAATGAAGGGGTGGCGGCATGCGGGCGCAGCTACGTGGGCCTTAGGTGGAGCTCTTTAACACGGAACTTGTGAGGTGTGTGCGAAAATGAGGGGGTGGCGGTATGCGGGCGCAGCCATTGGGGCCTTATGTGGAGTTCCCTATGGGGCCACGAGGCGTGTCAGGGGTGTGCCATAATGAGGGGGTGGCGGCATGCGGGCGCAGCCACTGGGTCTTGAGGTTGAGCTCCCTATGGGGCCATGAAACGAGTGAGGGGTGTGCCAAAGTGATGTGAGTGACGGGAGGAGGGAGAAGCGGGAGGCGGCGGAGGAGGACGGAGGAGCGGGAGGAGGAGGAGGAGGATGAGGAGGAGGAAGAAGAGGTGGAGGAGGAGGCGGAGGAGGAGAAGGAGGAGGAAGGAGGAGGAGGAGGCGGTGGAGGAGGAGGAGGAGGAGGAGGAGGAGGAGGAGGAGGAGGAGGAGGAGGAGAGGAGGAGAGGAGAGGAGAGGAGAGGAGAGGAGAGGAGTAGAGGAGAGAGAGAGGAGAGGAGAGAGTAGAGGAGAGGAGGAGGAGGAGAGGAGTAGAGGAAATTCGTTTTTTTGTTCCAAGACGAGGACCCAACTCAACACAGGATGGGTTGGGACAAATTGTCTGTCACTTTGGGATCGAGCGCTATCACGCTGTTCACCACGGCAAGGACGAGCACCACGCCAGTTTATTAGCGTTGCGGAATCGACCGCTACCACGCTGAGCACCACGACAGTCGGGTGCCAGCGGCACATCGATGCACAGTGTGTGGTGGCCTGCAGCACGAGCAGCACGACGGTCTGCAGCAGAGCGGCTCTCACATCCACGCATTCGAGCGAGCCTTGAGACTGAGGGCGGCAGCAGGAGCAGGCTTGTCTCCCTCGCTTCCTCTTCTCCTCCCTGTGCTCGCGTCTAGATTCCTCGCGCTGCATTGGCGGTGCGCCCGGAGTGACGCAAGACGAACTCATCTCCCGCTTGTCTTTCTTCCTCGCGCCCTCGCCTGCTGGAGACGGAGAGCTAGCTAGCCCTGCTGGGGTTGCCCAGCTTTCTGCCCTCTTCGGGCGCGGCAAAGAGGGGGGTGATGACCAGGGGGGGGTGGATATCATGGCGGGGGCCATGATATTTCCCCAGCTTTCATGGCGCCTCTTCTTGCTTCATTACGCCCCTGGCCCCCCTCCGCTGGGCCGCGCACATGCCGCCGGTCATGATTTGCACCCCCCCTCTTGGACACCCCCCTCTTGGCCGCTCACGACCTCTCTGCCTGTGTTGTCCTCGCTCCCCCCCGAACGGAGAAACTGCCGCTCGCGTAGGGCTTGCTCTTGGCGCTCCTTCCCGTTGCCCTTTCCGTCTTTCCCGCCTTCTGGTTCGGATTCAGCTTCGCAGTGCATGCTCATTTCGGCAGGCGTCGATCTGGCGGCCATCATGGGGGGTCACATTGATGGTGATGCGTGGTTGCATCGGATCGTACGCCAGGCTCCTTCAGGAGTAAGTGTATGGCGGGAGGGGGGACCACGGATTGGAGGGGAGGGGGCGGCGAGGAGGAAGAGGGGGAGGAGGAGGAAGCGGAGGCAGTCTTCATTCTCATGACTGCGGTGTTCCGTATTACTCTCTGTTCCCTTTCGCACCAGGTATGCTGGAGGCATAATTATCCAATTCGAAGTTCAGTCAGTCAACAAGGCAGCGAGTCAGGCGGCCAGGCAGCCAGGCAGGCAGGCAGCCAGCGACACGGAGATGAGCAGGAGGAGGAGGAGGAGGAGGAGGAGGAGGAGGAGGAGGAACAGGGGGACCAGTGTAGACCTAAGACTCATCAGCGATGATGCATTACACACTCCCTCCAAGTTCCCTCTTCATAGGTTCCGACAAGGGTGCATTTTCACTGAGGGAAGTGCCCCGTATGAAGACAACAGTTTGAAAATCCATAACCTTGTCAGAACACCGTATCTGGTGAGTCAACGCCGTGATTCAACGTTGCTGTTGCGTCCAGACAATCTTGAATCGTGCCAGGAAGTTATTCCTGGCGCTTCAACACTGCGAGTCAAAGTGACTGTCGCGCCCTCGCAGTGTTCATCGTGCCAACAGACACATTTCTGGGACGTCAACCATAAGAACCGTTGAAACCCTTGCACACTTTTCAGCCGACTCTGCGCGGGGTGAGGGCCGCTCTCCACCCGCGACATTCTTGCAGACTTCTAAGACGAATGTGCGC